AGTATCAATCAACTTCCACAAGATTGACTACTTCCCCAAATGATTTAACTTCAGATCATCACTAAACAAAGTTATAAAAATGCAATGAAGTGATAAGGACAAAGTTGTTTCTCAGCACTACTTCTGAATGGTCAGAGCAGCTTGTAGTCACTGCCAGACTGGTTTCATTTCCCTAGATCTTCCTGAAGATTCTCCTTCTCCACTTTCTTCCTCCACAGGAGTGTCCTGCATGGCTCTCTGCAGAAGTAGCTTGAGAGTGTTTCTCTGGAACCTACGATTCCTAATAGAGCCAACAAGGAAGTAAATGATGGGATTGGCACAGCTGTTAAAACAGGACAGACATATTGTCACTGGATAAAAATTACAAAGCATTACAGATTGAAAATTGTCAATCCATGCTAAGAGGAACCAGAAGATCCCATAGGGCAAACCAAAGAGCAGGAAGACCAGCACTGTGCACACAATGGTCACATACAGCCTAGTCACAGGAATCCTCTGTGAGCCACAGAAGATAGTAACAATTAAGGCCAGACTGGACCCCAAGAGAATCACAAATAAAACAATTAGCCATGCAGCAGTGATGAAATCAAATGCCTGACACCAATCAGGGCCAAGACTATCAAATAGGAAGCCGCATTCCATCCCTTCCAGGAGGCTCAACAACAGGGACAGAAACCAAGTCAGGGTACATATGACAGCTGATGTGTGCCTTGGGTGATAGCAACGATACCAGATGGGCCACATGACAGACAGGCTTCGTTCAAAGCTAATGGCACTGAGGATGCTCAAGCCACAAAGATAGGCAAAGTTTAACACAACAAAACAAAAAGGGGGCATGCCAATGGTCTTGGAGTAGAAGATGTTCAAAATAATATGAAGACAAAGTACAATTTGAAAGCATATGAAGAGAAAGTCAGCCACAGCCAGGTTGAGGATGTAGACAGAGAAGGCATTCCTGTGCATGTGGAATCCCAAAAACCACAGCACTATGGCATTTCCAACCAGCCCAACTAGGCCAATGATGAGGGAAAGAGAAGTCATGGTACAGGACAAGATGTCACAAAATGAAATTCCAGTGCTGTTGCTTCCATTCAGTGTCGTGAAGTTAATCAGCAAATCTGCAATGTTTAAATCAACTCTTAGGAGCTCTTCAGTCCTGTAAGTGGAAAGAAAAAGAAGATATGAGC